AGAAGATCAAAGAAGCTGGATGCAATGTGGATAGGGCCATATGAAATAATTGAAAAACACCCTAACGAAAACTATACAATAAAACGCGGCCGACGAACACTTTGTACGCACGCGAACCGATTAAAGTTATACTTAGAAGATTAAGAAAACTTATCTAGAACGGAGGTGTTCCTTTGCCACGTCCACAAAAAGGTCGGTCCTGAAGGACGGCTCGGGAAGCTCCAATTTGCCGAAATGGTTCCACACGAGTCCACATAGCACGACCGTGACCGCGACCAAGTGGAGGACGGTGAAACCCTCCCGACACGTTCCAGGAAGGAGACGGCACAGAACCGTCAAAAACATCATCCAATTCTTCACAAACTACACATTCCCGCTAAATAAAATAATAACGAAAAGCACTATATACATATTCAACAAGGCTACACATAAAATCACTACCTCAGAACGCACGGTACAAGGCACTATGACAGACGACATCGTGTTTGTTGAGAGAATGAAACAACACTGAAAGATGCATTAGTCGCTAACATAAATACGACACATGCAAACAATAAAAACGGGTATCATATCTATTCCAACACCTGAACCCCAATGTATTTCCAGGACACTCGTACTGATAAAAAGTGCCAACCTCAGAGTAAAAGGAACAGAGACAAAGGCACCGTATGAGATCATCAAATTCACACATACTCCTGGAGTGTATTATGACCTTCAAGGACAATTACACCAAGTTGTCTCTACATGGAAGGTAGTAATCAGAATAGACATACAGGGAATAGACATTCGAGGTAACCAAATACAAAAATATCTTAGAAACACACAAGACGTATGTAGCCAACAAAAAGAACCAAGCATTACGTGGGAACTGTGTGAAAATTCACAAAAAATTGTAAAAAAGGGGTTAGACCGCGTACAAAATATAACGGAACGATTGCACAATATATATAAAAATCCAAGAGAAATAAAACGAGGATTAGTAGATGGAATAGGATCCTTAACAAAATCACTATTTGGAATAATGGATGCGAATGATGAAAAAATAATAAACGAACAATTAAGCTTAATAGAAAACAAACAAGAGACGTTACAACATGCAATAGCAAACCAACTCAAAATTATTAATACAACTATCAATCATTTAGATAATTTAGAACAAACTTTGGAAACAAATGAGCAAATATTATGGAACACTATTACACAGCTCTATACAGAGGAAACAGGAATCATATTACGCCAACATATAGATGAACATTTTACAATACTTACTGCTTTACTTAATGATTTAATACGTGACCAGAACGATATAGTAAATTATTTAGATAACATACAGCTAGGAAACTTACCTATCAACCTAACACCCATAAATAGCATCGTGTCTCAATTACAAGAGGTAGCAATACACTTACCAAAAGGAACAAGATTTCCATTCACGCCTAAAACAGAAAATTGGTTGGAAATAAAGAAATTTCTCACAATTAGTGCGTATTACAAAAATAAAAATATCTTTACTATTTTATACTTACCTCTTATAACATATAATACGTACGAAATAGTACACATACATCCTTTCCCGGTTTACAGCCATGATAACATTTTCGCTTTAACTAGCATTGCATACACACAAGTAGCTATTAACCAGGAAACAAACACATATTTACTATTACAAGAAAACGAATTAACACATTGTATAAAAATTAATAATCAATATATTTGTCCGCAACAAAATGCGATATATAGAATTAACGAAGAAACACCTTGTGAAATCCAGATGTATACGACATTACAAAATATGAAAAACTGCCATTTAAAATACATTATAGCTAACCACACCTTCGTAATAGCATTAACGCGAAAGAATATAACGCGAAGAAATGGTTATATTCCACCAATAGTGAACAAACCATCCATATTCAATGCAAAGAAAAAACAGTTTATGAGAAAATAAGCAAAACAGGAATTATACACATTAAGGATCAATGTAAAGTAATAATTGAAGACAAGATTTTACAAGCACAAGGTATAATAAAGAGCACATTAATACAAACGCACATACCTGAATATAATATAACATTAGAACAAAAAAATTTAAACGTGATAAAAAACAAAAACGAAATCCTACACGTAAAACCAAATAAAATAATACACAACCCATCAGAGTTGGTAGAATTAAGTAACAAAATAACACAAGCATATAGAAATTTAGAAAACAACTCGAACTCGTTTCTACATTATAAAAATATTATATACACAACAGCACCGAGCGGAGTAACTATAGTCATAGTAATTATAATTGCGATAATTGTAATAAAGAAAACTAAAAATGGAAAAAACTCACCAATCGTAATAGAACGTAGCAATAAACGAAATATCAGAACACAACCTAAACCAATATTAAAACGTAGACATAGCCTACATGTACAGTTGTAAGTAAGGAAAACGATTATAACTATTATTGTAACGGAAAAA